AATCGGTATTGTTATCGATACTGTTATTGATTAAATAATCGATATTGTTATCGATACAATAATGGATATTGTTATCGGTATAATAATCGATTAAATAATTGATTTTGTTATCGATTTAGTCGTTTATATTGTTAACGATATGTACAATAATCGATACTGATGATTGTTATATTTATCGATGATTTAATCGATCTCACAATCGTTGTATTTTTCTATATGTTTATGGATATTGTTATCGGTATTTTTATCGACACAGTTATCAACAGGGTTATCGATATACTAATCGGAACATGGAATGTGATCACATTACATGATATCACATCACATATGAAGAGACATCACATGATATGACATCGGATGACATGACATGACATTACAAGACGTGGCATCACAGGATAGGGCATCATATGGTATGACATCATATGACATGAGATGAGAGGATATGACAACACATGACATGACATCCTATCACATCACATAAAATCACGTCACATCTTATCACGTCATCGCACCTCATCTCATCTACGTGAATAGAAAAAGAAAAGGATAAAATCAAAGATGTGAAAGAAAAACAAAGATGAAGACCAAGGTAAAGTTACCGATTTCATAACCAAAAACACCGTTGGAAAGGTAATTTTCTGTAGGTGAGGAGAGTTTTTATAGTTTCGAAATTGGTTGAAAATCGTCGTTTAAAAATGTTTTCCATATTTGGGTACGGTTGTGTTTGCAAACCTGTTCAATTTCAGCTGTTTCGCATTTTTTTTTTACTTCGTATTTGAAATTAAACTTTGAAATAAAGATAAATATGAATATGAAGAAATAAGTGATAACGATGAAGGCAAAAAAAGGCAAAAGTGAAGATAAAGACGAAAATTGAGATAAAGGCGAAAATGGAGACAATGAGAAATACATAAGAATTAGGTTAACAGAGTTGAAATTTTCCGATAGGAATCGAAATAAAATCAGCCATAAAGGTTACTGAAATTTATCGAATCATCGAAGTTTATAATTATCGAAATTTGTCCATGCTTATTTAGTTACCGCAACGTTCGAATTATTCAAACTTATCAATGTTTATTGAGTTGTCGAAATTTATAGACACAGCAACTTAGTTGTCCAAATTTACGGATAGTTATCGAGCTTTAAAAACGTGTGGGATTAATGAAATTACTCAAGTTAAAGAAATGTATCAAGTTATCGATATTTATAGAATTATCACTATTTATAGACTTAACGAAATTTATCGAGGTGTCATAATGCATGGAGTTCTTTCAACTTACATAGTTATCGTTAATTATTGATCTACTTAAATTGGTTGATTCATGGAATCGGAGTTTATGGAATTTTCAAAGTATATCGATTTATCGAAATTTCAAGGTTATATAAGCTAATCGATTTATCACTGCTTATCGAATTTTATCGTGTTAACAGAGTGTAACGAGTTATCAAAATGTTTAGATAGTTTTAGAAAAATGTGGAGATGTCAAAAGTAAGAATTTATAAAGTTATCCAAAGTTTTTACATATTTGAGTTATCTAAATTTATCGAGCCGTCGAATATCACAGTTATCGAAATTGGTCGAGTTAACGAATTTTGTTGAGTTATCGAATTTTAGTGTTCTTGAAATTCATCGAACTACCGAAATGTATCAAATCATTGAAATTTATCGATAAACTTGAATGTATTGGGTCAATTCCAAGTCCTGCCGAAGGCCTCCAAAGACCTTCTATGATAAAAAAAATTTAGTTACGTTTTAGCAGAAGATTTTCCGGTTAGTTAATTTGTACCGTATAAGTTTTGCTACGTGTTAAGTTAGAACACCTCTCCAACGCTTCTAAAACGAGAAAAACTGTCGAATTTCGACAGTAACTGGCACCCTAGTATTATATAATTGGCTTGGCTACTGAGAGGAACGCATCTCTTCTCTCGCAGGAGACCACAAGGTGTGTTCTAAAATTTATACCTGAAAGTAAGTGAACCGTTGTCGGCATAAGCAATAATCAGACAGCATCTTAACTCTAGCTCCTCCAGAAAGTCCTTGCCGACGAAGATCTAGAGAAAACTTAAGAGGACGCCTCCTAGTGGCGTGCCTCACCCTATAACACGCAGGACGTAGTTATTGCTTTATCTGATACGGCTTTGCTGCGAGGGATTCAGTTGTCCTAGGAACCATTTGGCTTACATACATACAAATCAATAAGTCTCTCTAAAACCGTCAATGGGAATGAAATCCTTAAGACAAGCTTGGGATATTTTCAGTAAGAAAATGTTTTGGTTACTCATACGCTCTCTTCGACAACATAAGCACAACTGTGTACTTACATATAAAGGGTGTTTCGGGGGATTTTTGACCAGCCGTATGGGAATGGCTGTTTACAAAAAGTTTTCAAGTATTAATAATAACATATTGGCATAATTAGGAAAACAATAAATAATCTGAAATATAGCATAAATTTCTAATAAGGATAAAGGAAATAGCCATTTTAAAAAACTGACGAAAACTCTTAAGGTACACAAAAGGTAGAACTGACGTCAAGATTTCTCAAAAGACTTTGAGATTTAAGAGATATGATTAATTCAAAAAATCATTTTAAAAATTCATTGCAATATTTTTACATAAAATAACAATATGCATCTGTACTATGTAAGAACGTAGCAAATGAAAAAAAAAATAAATAAATATTTGATTCTCAAGGATGAATAGCGATTGAAAATGGCCTTCTAATTCGTTTTTTTTAACTAACTATGTTAAGAGAACAAAATTCGAGAATGTTGTCTTGTGTAAATTGGTCTGGCCGCTGGCTGATGGTCGTTGATGCCATTGCCATTTTTGATTAAAATGCTGATTTGATAGCAAGCAATGACCGTGTTGACACACTTATGTCCATATATACATATATATCTATGTAGGTATGTACAAATAAACATTCAGTTTTTATTGCACATTGTTATCACCTCACAAATACGCAAGCCTAAGTTCATTTGTATACGCGCACAAACACACATATGTATTTCTATTGATGTACATAAATACTCACAGTACACAACGTCAACAGCAAATGAATGTCGACAAAAAAAAAATTATGTCATGAAATCTAAACTAATGCCACCAACATCACCATTATCATCACAAACCATCTGTAACAGCAGTAACAGGAGTAATAGTAACAACATCAACATCCATCCATCAGCACTCAGCACTGCTGTACTTAGGAGACGCATTTGCGTTTTAATAGGCACACGAGCTGTAATTGAGAGCCATAGTTCGATAAGAACGCAATGAGAATTTAGTTATATATACGATTTGTTGGTGGATAGCGCAAAGAGAGTGCATTGAAACCCCAAAATAGCATTGGTAATTAAAAGATCTGTGAAAGTTTAAGCGAATTCGAGAATTTACTAAAATAAATTAGTAGTGCTATTAACACCCAAAATTAGGTTAAATTTAAAGTAATTTAATTGCAATTTCACCATTGATTAAAGTGCGAAATGAGCGAGCAGATAAAATGTGAAGCGGTTATTAATGCATTACCTAATCACCAAAGCTTTTATAAGCCGGATCTGCCGAGAATATTATTTTCGAGCTACATATATAGGTAGATAAAATGAGAAAAGGTTAATTTGATAAGAAGGTGATTTTTTTAAATCTTCGCATACTGCCATCTTTTTCAAGGCTATTGTCAAATTTCAAATGAGATGTATCACTACCTATCTATATGCTCGGTGGCCATTGAAAGCAGACATCCTCGGATTTTCGACATATAAGGCAAAAAGGAAATTTCAATAGGGGTTTTTTGTAGTATTTAGGAGTTTTCTTCTGTAGCTGATTACGAAGCAGGTTACACAAATTTAAAATGAGGGGTGCAATATGATGGCTTCAAATTTTATAAAGTTAGTGGATTTTAATTGAACATAGTGAACATTATTATTAATAATAATAATGATAATAATAATAATAGGTTTGAGCTTACATATACGTACAGTTTTAGCCAATACAATAGCACCGCCATTTCAAAGTGATATTGTTTGCCACTCATGTTTATTTATTTATTTTTAGGATTTTTTTAATTTAAATACAGTTCATTCTCTAACAAAACTCATATAAACCAAAGTTAAACACTTTTTAAAAGACTACAAACAATTCAATAAATTTTCATCAAAATTTCAACTTTTTTTCGAAGAATTGGTAGAAACCTTTTGAGCCCTTTTAATTTTAGTGGTTTAATATTACCGTTGAATTTTTAGAATTTTTTTTCATGGCGGAAATACTCTCGGAGTTTTTCCATTGCCTGCCCCTATTAGAAAAAACCAAATTTTTTGTTTTTATTTTTTGATGTTGGCTTGAACCGGGCTAGAACCCAGGCCCTGCGATATGGTAGCACGCACAGCTTACCATTACACCACAAATATGTTCCTCTTAAATTCAAATACTAAACCGTGCGACGGTTAATTTTACACAAAAACAATTCGCGAAACAATGGGACAAATATAGTAAAACTGCGTTTTTTATTTTTCTCTCTGAAGTCAGAATTTTTTTAAAGGACCCTTGAAATTTGAAGAATATAACTACTTAAAAAATTTATTAAAAAAATTCAGTGCATTGTCGAAAAAAAGTATGGATACCAAATGAAAGAGAAAATTCTGTAGAATTAAAGCCGATTAAATTTGTTTGGTGCATAAGGACGATTAGGTTTTGAAAATGTTCTTTTAACATTTTATAATTGAATATCCTTGAAATTTTACAATAATTATTTTCAAAAAAAATTATATGCTAAGGACTAATATGCACTAACTTTATTCGCTTAAAAAATAAAACTAATTAAAAGGACATTTTCAATACCTATTCGTTCTTGTGAACCAACAAATTTTATTATTTTTTTTAATTCTACAGAATTTTCTCTGTCAGTTGGTACTCTTTTTCTACATTGGAACGAGTTTTTTAAATAATGTTTGGCATTGATCATATTTTTAAAACTACACAGTCCTTTAAAATAATCCTGATGTCAGAGAGAAAACTAAAAACGCATTTTTACTACAAATGGCCCACATTTTCGTGAGTATATTGATTGCTTCATGTGTATAACCTAATATGGATTTTGTGAAACTGCCTACTTAATTAATATATTAATTTTCACTTAAAAGTACAATTATAGAAGAAGATCTCATTTCTAACAAACGGCCGGTAAAACGTTCTTTGCATATTCGCCCCTAAAGTTACCCGGTGGATC